CCTTCTCTGGCGTCGCAATGCTAGACTCTGGATGCTCCACCTGCATCTTACCAATATCTCAGTTACCCAGAGAAGCCAAGAAACACATGACCCGCTCCGACGTCGTAGTAAAAGGAATCAACGGCAGCACCACCGCCCCCTGGCGAACTGACTTGCGACATCACCATCGGCAGTCGAGACTCACCCACATTCAAAAAGGTTAACGTGCTGGTAACTACCCAAACCACACCGATCCTGATCGGCCAAAATATCCTATGTCACAACACGCTCGATTCCTATCTAATCGACAACCAAAATGCGACTATAGAATTCAGACGCACACTTTCCTCAGGATACACAACACACACAGCCGCAATCATATCACCGTCATCGTCAACCAACGATCCAGCATATGGCGCCCAAGCTGACGTCATCCAAAACCAGCCTACTATGGAACTACAGCCCAACATCCAGACACTGGATCAAAAGCTAACCTGGCTAAAGCATAACACGGGGCTATCGCTACCAAACCACCCGAACCGAGACGAACTAGAGGCCACTGCAAACTTACTCATTCGCTACGCTGACATTATCGGCACCGAAAGCAGCAGCAAAGGCACATTCATCCGACCCATCCGCATACCAACCAACGGCCAGTCTCGCAGCCAGAAACAACACCCGATCGCCCAGGCTTTGGAAGCAGACGTTGATACCGAAATTAAGCGCATGGCCGATGAAGGTATCATTGAAAACTGCAGCGACCCCAAAGGCTTCAATAGCCCTGTATTTGCCGTACGCAAGAAAAACGGATCGATTCGCGTCGTCGCTAACTTTAAAAGAACTCTCAACAAGGTCTTAGTCGATCTTGACCCTTACCCAATGCCAAGGATCGACCACTTGTTCAACAAAATCGGCAAAGGCAATAGATATTTCACTTCCCTCGATCTACGCAGCGGCTACTGGCAAATTGAGATCGACAAGCGAGACCGATACAAAACAGCATTTACATGGAAGGACCAATGCTATCAATACACGCGCCTGGCCTTCGGCCTTACATCTGCCGGACAAATCTTCTCCCGTTGCATAGCAGAAGCCCTAGCCACGGTCACATCCCGTGACAACATTTCTTCCTATATCGACGACAACCTGGTCCACGCTAGGACATTTAGGGAGTACATACTCTCCCTCGAACAATTTTTTACTGCCCTCCGAAAATTCGGACTCAAGCTGAATCCAGATAAATGTTCCTTCCTCGCATCAGAGGCAAAATTCCTCGGACGCATAGTAAACAGCGAAGGATTCAAGGCTGATCCAGAATACGTTCGTGCCATCAGGGAAATGAAACCTCCAACATCAAAAAAAGGAATTACAAAGCCTTATCGGCCGTTTAGTGTGGATCAGACAATTCCTAGAGACACGTCTTCACGAACAAATCAGGTCAGATATGTTTTCAAAACTTATGGGTCCCATACACGAACTCAACAAGGTTAATAAACCGTTTATCTGGACGCAAAATGCCGACAGAGCCTTCAAAAAAATCAAGGACCGTCTCTCTTCGCCACCAGTCATCTCGTTTCCGGATTTCTCCAAACTTTTCACACTCACCACCGACGCCAGTGACGTCGCATGTGGAGCAATCTTAATGCAAGAAGCCGACAACGGAAAGAATGATATCATATCGGTCGCTTCTCATACATTCAACTCCACGGAACAGAACTGGTCCACGACGGAACGAGAGGTATATGCAATAAAGTGGGCAATACTGAAATGTGATTATTTCCTTCGCAACCGCAATTCGTCATCTTCACCGACCACAGATCGCTGACATATCTGGACCAACGAGAGTTCAATAATGCCAAAATACGACGATGGCAAGAAGAAATTTCATGTTATAAATTCGTCTTAGAATATGTCGAAGGCGAATCAAATGTATGGGCTGACATGTCAGCAGAGGTTGCGGACATAAGAAAACGAAAGCCCCGAATGACCCTACACCGGCAGGCATGACATTCGAGGTAAGCGGTTCAGACCTCCGCGTATACATCCCATCTTGGTGCCTCGGCGAGTTTAACGGTTTACAGCTCATTCCCAAAACTCACACACCACAAAAACGCCCGCACCCACAAGCGCGTCACCAACGCATTCTTCGCCTATCACTCTACCACCACCATCCCCACTGAGAGAATCTGCAACCACCTCGGCATCGCAAATGAACAACAGAAGGACGACGCCCTGGCAAAGATCATCAGCGCCCTCCAGTCACCCACCCAAGCGAACCTCATATCGATCCTGACGACCACCGAGCTACACTTTTCAAAAAACATTTGCACCAATTTTTTCTAGAACCAGGCACCTCCGTTTTGATGATAAGAGACAGTAAATACCCTCCGAGATTGGTTGTACCATACAAACTACGATCCAGATACCTCTACCAGGCACACGAGGGCAACAACCACTCAGGTGTTACCCGTATGCGAGAACTCCTTTCCAGCTACTGGTGGGAATTCAAAAACCGCGACATCAAGGCCTATGTCGATTCTTGCGACACGTGTGCTAAGTGCAAGGGCAACTACGGTAGACGTACCCACTGGCCCATTGGCCACTGCAAACGAGGAAAGAGACCATTCGATCTCGTCTTTATAGACTTTGTCACAATGCCCAACTCAAAGGGAAAACGCTACATCCTAACCATCTTGGATAGCTTCAGCCGACACTTTACAGCCATACCATGCGCGAGAGACCGTGCTATCGACGCCGCCCGCGGATTGTACCAGTTCTTCCTTCGACACAGAGAGATTCCACGCATAGTATCCTCTGATCGAGGCACACACTTCACTGGAGAAGTCTATCGACAATTCTGTAACCAGATGTCAATCACGCAAGAACTTCACTGTCCTTGGCGCCCGCAAAGCTCAGGAAATATCGAGAGACAACATCGCACGATGAAGAACGCACTTTATATGTTATGCGAAGACAGGAACTGTGAATGGACAGACGTTCTAGAATCTGTCGTTTCGTCCATGAATGCCACGACCAACAGCGCCACCGGTGTCTCCCCGCACTATGCCATTACTGGCCGTCACCCCAACATCGGCCTACCTACACTACACAGAAAAGAAATCGCAAGTGACGATCCTGGAGCATATGGAATGCAAATTAATGCCCTGCTAAAGCAGGTTCACCACCACGTCACCCTGGCCAACGATGAAGCTGACCACAAACTTGAGACTAACTTAAATCGCCTCACATACAAGGACCCAATACAAGTAGGCGACAAGGTTTTACTTCACCGGCCACACTCAACTGTTGCCCAATCCTCTCATCTGCCCTGGATAGGAAATTACACCATTATAAAAACGAACAATATGATGTGTCAGGTGCAAAACGATAATGGTGATACAATCTGGATTCACCGTGCACATATCCGACGACTGGCTCCACGTCCAACACATCTATCTAATACAATCCCTCTGCCTCCACCATGTAACAGTCACCAGGATCATTCTCCTCCACATCCCTCTGGGACACATAATTCAGCAAATAACTCCATACCAAAACAAATGCCAATAAGAAGAACACGAGGACAACTTCCCACACGCTTCAGAGACTTTATCATGAATTAATCACCCAAATATACACGAATAACGCTCACTGTAAATCATACCGATATCTGGGGGAGCCTTATTATAAAATAAAATAAGACATATCTCGGCTGATTTGCAGGCAAATAAACTAACATACTCAAGAGCGAGAGCCGGATGAACGGGACAAGGCCCCGTCACAAAATGACCATTATCGTCGTTTACGCATAAACCCGACGCACGAGTTCCGGTCGAAAAATAAAATAATATTTTAAAGTGTTTCTATTTTTCGACCAATAAAAATGCTTCCCTCCTAATTATACTCGCGTCGTTTTTTTTCGCCTGTTAAGCCATAAAAAAAACGCCATAAAGGGGTCACACAGGGAAGTACAACAGCAGTCAACAGGCCAGGAAGAGACCTGTCACGGTCAGTCAGCAGCGGTCAGCAGCAGTCAGCAGGAGGAGCGCCACGCCAACCAGTGAGGCACTATTCAACTTTGCTTGATTGCCAACTCACTCTGTCACTGAGTCAGTATAAGCACATCATATCTAATAATGGTTTCTCCTTTTATATATTATATATACAGGATGCAATAGGTAAATCTTATATTTTTAATTTTGTGCATGTGTGTTGTCTTATCAGAACAATCAGAGTGAGTTTTCTGAGCTGCTCTACCTTCATTTGTATTGGAGCTTCCAGTGCAAATGCCAAGCAGTACAGCATTTTGTCTCCAAATTTCTAGCAGAGTGAATTGCATCAGGAAGTTCTTTTTCTCAAAGATGGTAGTCAACTGACACTACTATACTGGGCAGGTGACAAAATAAAAAACAAATAATGTACATGTGTGAAATTAAAAATATAAGATGGCAACAATTTACCCATTACACCCTTTATATATATATATATATATCTATTTTTTTTAAATATAATTCCATCGCTACATAAAATTAAAAAAAAAATAATTATAATTATTATGTATTGACACTGTTTTTTAAAAATAAAAACAAAAATACTAAAGAACTTTGGATTATTAACCTAACGGTTCTTTCTTATTTTTCTATATTTTGCACACACACATATATCCAAGTATAGTATTGGTGTATATGGAATAAATTCCAATAACGAACAAATACTATTTTTAAAAGAGTGCTCAATACAGAGCAGAGCAAATATAATCATTTATTCAAAAATTATAACATAAAAATGTTATAAAATCACTACAAAAATAGCCATTTTGTTTCAACACTTCTGGTGACTTATCAAGTGATGTTGTTGAATGTAGAATAAAGGGTTTTATAAACCCTTTTGTAGTGGTAATTGGAACGAAAATATTCTCCCACCTGATTGCAAACTGCAGCGTATATATTCCACATGCAAGGTTTATCTTTTTGACCAGAAAAAGAAACATGGCCACCCCCAGCAAGCTTGTATGCGAATGGTCATGTATCCTCATGCGGACAGTCTCGTAAAGCCACAAAAAGAAGGAAGGCAGAAAAGGAGATAAAAACGCTGAATGCCGGCGTCTGGGCAGATAGAAAAATGGAGTCTCTTTTGTAACATGGAAAAATAGTGTAAAGGAGAAATCAGAGGTGCAGAAGATTATTGAGAAAATTGAAGGAGTTTATCAGTTGTTGTGGTTTTACACCAGGCATATCAAGAAAATATTGTGTTTGTTCAGGAAGTTTTGTCAGACATCGCGGATTGCAACAACAACAACTACACCTTTATGTAGAATAAAGGGTTTTATTACAAGACACAAAAAATCTGTGTCTGAAATTGAGTCAGAAAATAGGTCATTGAAGTTTTTATTTATATATTAATAATGTTTTTCTTTTTCTTATATTATTTCACTCTCAGTAACCCCTTGTATCTTAGTAGGTTTATTGTCTTGCTTGGAGTGAAATGATTAAAAAATAAAAAACATTCACTAGTAATATTAATATAAGCATAATCACCTGGATAACACATCCTATTCTGTCAGTAACTCTTGCATTTATTGGTGATTATTAACAATTGTATTCTACCCAATTTACAATGAACTTCTATTGTTCGACTATTTTCCATATGCATTCAGAATGTTGATGATCACGTAATTTCCTGTCTTTTATTGAAATACTTATTCCCTTTTGTCTTGTTCCTCCATCCATCAAACATACATTATTGATGAGCACTGTTAATTCTCTGAGCCTTCTTTCCTCATTGTGTGTTCCAGAAATTTCAGCTATCTCTTCCCAATTATTAGCAACAATTTGTATTTCCTAATTTGTCACATTCTCTACCCATGATATGCTCAACATTCATCAGTAGTAGTTTATGTTGTTATGGTTATATTCCCTGAAAATAAATTCAGCCAAGTTCTCTTAGAATTATCACTATATACAAGCAAACTCATTGACAATACATTTAAATTAAATAAATTTGGTTCAAATACTGTTTATTACTAAATCGTTTTCTTTTTAGATGTCCTTCAGCATGTACTAAATCATAACTCTCTTTTTTATCTGTGAATTGCCATAACTTCTTGGGTAAAATAATGGAGTGCTATTCAGCAGGGTAGACTGTGCTCTCAATCTTAGGTAGTTTCACTCTATTAAAAACTCTAAATTCTAAACCATAGAGTAGGAAGAAAATGGATACATGCCTTTTTCCCAAGAGCATTTGCATAAAACTAAATCCAAATGATTAGACCTGAAAGAAAAATAGTAATAAAAAAAAAATGAAGAAAAAAAAAATAAAGAAAATAAAAATGGATGAGAATATACAGAAAAACAAAGTAGACTGGGTCAGTTTCTTAAGTGTTAAGAAGGGATTAACAAAAATAAGTAAAAATTCCTGAAATTAAATGATATCAAATTAATGTTCAATAAATTAATTTTTCATTTATTTTAAAAATTTTATAAATAAGTAATGCTTTTTAAGAGCAAAATCTTTTATTAATATTCATATGACATTGAAAGAATTACATATATATATCAATACAATATTGAAAGAATTTATATATATATATATATATATATATATATATATATATATATATATATATATATATATATATATATATATAATCATTTCTAAAAGTAATCATAAAATTAATATGGAACGTTCTAAAAAACAACCCCATCCTAATTTGGAACATTCTAGTAAAATTTGAACACTTTTATAAAATGTGTGAAATCAATTTTCAGCTTTTCAATGCATTACTACTAAAATTTTCTGCATTATTCTTGCAAAAGTTAATAGACAACTATTTCATGACTCAACAACTTGAATACATGCAAGACTATTACAGAACTTTGTAAACTATTCAACTACACTAAGTAACAAATATTTTACTATTGGGTAAAAGTGCTTGTTTTAAATTAAATTCTGTTGATTTTGAATACATAATAAGAAATGTCTGAGTTTATCAGAATTTTACATTTTACCAGCTTGTCTTATATTATACATTTTAGATAACCAAAAATCAAACCATGTAATAATTATCAATATGTATTTATTTATACATTTCTTGTCCCATCTGTAGTGGGAAAAGAGGTAAATCAACTTGTTAGTAAATTTATGAGTGATTGCTAGTCGTTTAATAAAAATACAAATAAAATAATTATCTGCATTTATCTGCAAAATTAGTTATTGAGCAAAATGAAGCATTTAATTAATCAGTGCTTTTACTCTTATATTACTTAGATTGCAGTCCTATTTGTTTAAGCCTTTCATGTGAGGCACTCAGATACCTTTGTTAAGTGATTGGCTTGCTTCAACTTAGGGGTTGTTGTTCTGTTGCTAATTTCACTGTTATATTAAACACTTAAAATTTATAACATGAAAAGATATTGAGCAAAAAATTTATGCAGGGTGCAACAGAAATAACCCCCACATAATGGTAAGACATTAGTGGCAATGGTGTCTTTATGTAGCTAAAGTCTTCATTATGTGGAAAGTATATGTAGCAGGTATTTCTGCCACAACCTGTATAATACCAGGAGTAATCAATGAATCATAGATACCATTGAACATCTAAAAATATAAAGGGAAGAGATTAATTAAATGGTTTATTGGCCTCTATTTTAGTTGTGAATTCTTTATTTCTATTTTATTGAATCTCAAGACATTGTTTGAAGCCTTTTGTTTTATTGCATCTCACTATTAAAACTTTCTAATAATTGCTGTCATTACTGATGGCACAGGTAAACTAGTAAAAAAAATAAATACCCAGACAACACTGCACTAGGTTAAATTGAATGTATTGACTCTGAAGATATACTCAGAATCATTTTAAAATTTCATACTTTTTCTAACAAAGTAGGAAAATAATTAATTTTGCAGAAAATGAAAGAGTCTTGCATGAATACTACTCTTTCGCTTGAAGCTTCTTGGTTGTGACTTGTACCAATATCTTGATGTCATCATCAACTTTGAAAGAACATATAATTTTTATTTTAAATAATACTAACAATATTTCTACAAATCAATGCTTGACACAGATAATTGGTTGGTGTTATGCAGGCCATTAAAATTAAGCAGTCTGAATTCTTGACATTAACTTATATCCCAGTTCTATTTTGTTTTCTACAAAAGTTTCTATTAAGCTTTGGATTATAATTGCAGAATTTGATTCTATTCTTTCTAGTATGACAAACTGAGTGTAAAAAAACTTGACTAAAATAGGTGTGATAAAAATGGTTTACCTTAAAAGTTTAAACAGACAACTCTACAGTGAAAGTTTGAAAATTCAACCTTAGTTTTAATAGCTCATTCACAAAACTATTTTTATTTTAGTTTTAAGGAATCATAGAATTTCTTTGATCTTTTTATTGATTCCGCAGGAGTGAATAAAGGATGGTATCCCAGCATTCTTTGAGCTTTTTTACCACTGAAAACCAGGGTCATATTTATATATGAAATACTGCAGAGTGGAGTTAAATGAAACTTGGCAAAAAAAGAAATTACCCAGAGAAAAATGTCCCTGACAGTAAAAAGTATATAAATTAATGAGTATGGAATTCTAAATGGAGACACTTTAAAATTATGTTCAACCAGGTAAGGATGAAGAGAATCAAAAATATTCTGGATTGGTGTCTCATCAGGTATAAAGAAAAAATGTCCTCCAACAGAATCAGGATTAAGCCTTAAGGCTTCATTTGCTTTCAAAAATGCCCAAGCAACATTTCCAGCATAAGTTTTTTGAAAGAGAGCACTGCCATCTCCAACTCTTATCACCCAGCCAAAAGTTTCCTTGGCACTTTTAAGTGCTGCTGTGATCATAAATGGATCTCCTTCTCCATACATGACATTAGGACGTAAGGAAATTGTATGAAGTTTCTGACCTAGAAAAAACATATTGTATGAAATTTGTATATATTTGGGGAAAGAAAAATACAAAAAATAAAAAACAAGAAATAAATATACTATAATAATATTAATAAACATTTCAAATAAATGTATATATCTTTAATAACTGTATTTGTTTACAATTAGTGCTTTCCTGATAATAGTTTCTGCCAATTACAAAATGTTGTTGATATATACCCCCATTTCATAAACTCTGCATTTACTATGAAAGAACTTGATATCAGAACTTGTAAGAAAATTCAAAATAATAAAAACAAGTACTTTGAATTTTTGTATCATATGTACCAATTATGAAACTGGAAGTTATGATATTAAAATGCAAAAATGCTTTCATTAATGAACAAATAAAAAATGCACAATAATTTAAATCCTAAAAACAGAAACCAGAACATCACCTTATCCACTACCAAATAGAACATTTTTATTTTTAAACTTCCTTTTGGTTCCTCTGGTTTTAAACTTATTTATACCCCTGGACTGAATTTAAAAATGTCTGACACTATTTAGCTATGGTAATTGGCTAAATAATTAACCATAGAAATTAAAACAGAAAAAGGACATTCTTAAAGCAAAAAAAGAGCTCTCATGAAAGATAGACTGATTGACATTAAAAGAAAGATTTGATTTTATTTACAAAAAAAAACTCATGGAAAGAGCTGTGTGTGAGATCTTGTTGATTTATGTCTCGTCGAGGGAGATAGAAAGAAAGGCAAATATGAAATTATCGATCAAAACACGTGCCAGTCATAAAAATTTCAGCTGGAGACGATTGCTGATACAGCCAGGGAGAACCAATATTAATTATCTTTCCAAGATATCATTTTTTTTTCTTTCTTGGCCATCAGTGAGACAGAAGCAATGCAGTGGCTATAAAATTTTGACATTGTCTCAACATAGGTGAGAGGATTGTTATCATTTACTTGACCAACAGACGCTAAGACGTTGAATAGCAATGTGGCAATTGTAAAATTTTGGCATTGTCTTGACATAGGTGAGGGGTTTGTTATTGTTTACCTTATCAACGTGTCGATTTATTGTTTTATGGCGATATGGTGTGTGTAAACTTTTGGCAATCCCCAGGAAATAGAGTGGAGAATTGAAATTTGGCGAGATAAAAGAATTTAATTTCTTAACAGCCGAAAGATTCCATTATAAAACTGACTTAATGTAAGGACCAGATGGCAAATTTGACAGTGATTGATGAGTCGGTAGAGAGTGCTGGCTAAGTGAATTTTGGGTGGCCCCAAAAGAAAGATGTGATAAGAATTTAATTTGCAATATGGAATTCGTAAAAATTTTGGCCGATGGGAAAGGAGAATTTTGTAAACAAAAATTTTGGATTATAATTTTAAGGGGGCCAACTTAGCCACACCTGCACAGTTGAGAGATTATTGGTTGGGTAGTAGCATGCGTGATAGGTGGAGGTGAATGGATGAGAAAGGCGGAGAAGTTGTTAACGCCCACTGAAGGGATTGGTATGAGATATCAATGTGAGAGAGAAAGAGTCTAGGAGAATAGCTCTCCTCTGACTTTCCCTCACGAACAATGGAGACCATACCCCTCCCCCGAAATGGGAAGTGGTTAATTTTTCAAAAATGGGAAATAATTAATTTTCCTGGCTTGACAACAAAGAGAATGCTTGTTAGAAATCAAGATTTACCAAGAACCCCAGGCCGCATCTAGCCACCCCCCAGGTTTTGGGCGGTACCCATACAAACAAACGTCGATGAGTGAGTCAGTCGCAGTTCAGCTCCGGACAGAGTCAGAAAGTTCAAGTAGCGGGAACCAGAATGTTGCCTTGCAGAAGCTGACCGAGAGATTCCACGACCCTCAACTTCGCCTATTCTATCAATAGCAAGTTATACTGACAAATGAAGTTAAGCCAGCACTTAAAAACTAAATTAGATGACTTATGATATCAACTTGCTTGAAACATAGAAGTGTTACATTTTGTGGGAAATGGGCTGGGAGAAAAACATGCTCCTGTATATAACAGAAGGATAAAGTTAAACTGTTATTTTTTAACATACTTGAACCTCTTGGGTTTTTCTTTCATTTATTATTTTTTTTGTGTGTGCTTGTGCAATGCCACCTTCAATTTGGACGCCTGATTGATCTTGTCTACCTAAGATCAAAGTCACAACGTGGGTAGGTTAGACTTGAGATCGAAGCAGTTACTCCAGTAACCAGACGTTGCAAGTGAGCTGGGAATGATAGAGTTGGCATTGAACCGGTACAGCTGGTGAAGCCGTTAACATTGACGACCAGAATTCGACTTTGGTGCCTCATATTGAAACCATGACCACTGGATTTGACCCTGGATGGCAAAGTGTCACATATTGGTATCCTGACCAGGGGATTTTGCCAAGTAGTGACAACTACCGAATGACTGGGACACAGGCTGGTGACAGCAACAAAGAGTCAACCCCAAAATGCCAGTAGAAGAAACCTTACAGCTTCACGCCACGGCTGGGAGTTGACCACAGGCCGACAGCTTGGTGTCACAAATGTTACTGTGCAATAACAAGGATAACTTATTTATTAATCTAGAGTTTACAAACATGACCGCACACACACAGGTTAAACAGGGAAAATATATTGAACACCAGCAAAAAGAAATAAAATGCAATTGCTCATATTCTAGAATTACTAAACATTGTAGAAATTGTAATTATTGATTCAGTTGGCTGCCTATTACAATGTTAAGTATTTTAGTAAAATATATAAATCATTAGAAATGTTGTTATTTTTTTACATTTAAATTATAAAAATAAGGATGCTGGGAATTATGTATAAAGTAATTCATGTAGATCTTTCTGTGGTGAAAATGCCTAAAAAAATAAAAAAAAAAATAAACAGTTTTAAAAAATTCTAAAATAATCTAAAAGTCCTGACAAAAAGTAAAAAGTATGAAGAAAATTTTTAAAAGTCTAAATAAAAAATTAAAAAAATCTACAAAATATCTAAAAAGCAAAAATAGGCAAGAAAGCAAGCAGTCTAAGAAAAAAATAAAAGCTTTAAAAAATAAACTATAATCAGAATTGTTCATTTTGAAACTTATTTCTGGCAATCATCAAATTTGCAGAAATGGAGTGACAAATGAAATAGTGCAACTAACAAAAAAATAATAAATTCTATAATTCTTCTAGTTTCTTTTAGTTTCTAATATATATTTAAAAATGAATAACTAAAGTCTAAAAAACTAAAAAGATTAAAAAATTAAAAATTTGGACAGAAATTGAAATGTCTAAAAAATCTAAAATGTTTGAAGAAGTCTAAAAAATAGAACAACTAAAATGGAAAAGCTGAAAATAAATAAAATAAACTAAACTGAAAAGTTAAAAAAAACTAAAAATTCTGAAAGAATTCAAAAAGTTTTGGGAAAGCTAAAAAGTCTAAAATAAATAAAAATGAAAATGTAAAACAAAGTATCAAACATTTTTAAAAAGTCTTAAAAAAAACAAAGCTAAAACAAAAATGCTAAAACAAATGAAAAAGTTAAAAAAATAAGATTTAATAAAATTTTCATTTATTTTAGCATATTTGTTTTAGTTTTCTTTAGATATTTTTTATTAGTTTTTCTTTACATTTTTCATCTATTTTTTTTAGATAGTTTTATTTTTAATGCTTAACATTTTATAAAAAAAATATGTGAAAAAAATAAATAGTCTAAACAGTCTAAATAAAAACATCAAAAAATAAAATGTCTAAAAATCTTCATAAAAAAATTAAAAATTTAAGAAAAATGTAAAACCAAAATTCAAAAATTCAATTCTAATTTAAGGAAACCAAAAATAAAAAAAAATAAAACTGAAAGCAAAAAAAGAATGCTATTAATGATACACATTTTTTTTTGTAATATTTCAAATGGCTAACCTCAGAATGAAGGACCCTTCAAGGGTCAGCAATTGACTGGAAATACTGGCAAATTTTTTTTTATAGCTCCTCAAAATGGCTTAACCTACTCACACATTTTGCATTGTAAGGATATAGTCATTATCTATGATCATTGGCTATAATTTAATGATGTGCTATCTAATTCCCTGTAATATGCCATTGGAAGGATATTCAGCTTTTATATGGTCTAGAATATATGCAAAAATGTTTCATATTGTATCTAAAATTCTTCTTAAATGAGAAAATAAAAAATAGTTCTGCTGTGATTTGGAAGGTGGGAGAGAATTTGCCATATTAAAATCTTTTATTTAAAAGTGTATTGAAAAATGATCGTCTACTTGATTTCCTATGAGATTCAACAAATAAATCTCTGAGAATAACTATACCTATCTATACCTATTATAAATATGATTATTATGTATAAAATAATATTTTATGTACAAACTTGAGGAATATCTAACTAGGGATAAAATTGTATCTGAAAATGAGGCAGATTAGATGCCAGGATACAAAAACTTCCAGGTCCTAGTAGTACAGAAACTGTGATATTTAGCATTATGGCTTTCAACTTTCTATAACATTATGTATATCAGTAGACAATATTAAAATAGTGAACAGATTCATGTGGTATTTGACAGTTATGACAAGGATATTATATAGAAGATCATTAGACAGAACAGAAATGCTGGTAAATAATACCATCTGCAACTAGATATTCAAACTCCTAAAACATGGTCAGTTTTTATCAGTCATGACAGAACAAGTAAAATCCTGACAAATGTTACATTGACTACATGAAAGAACACACAGCTCATTTATTTCAAGATGATCAGTCGATTAACACAAGTTTAAGCTGACAGAAAGACTTTACAGTGGGTTCTTGCCAAGAAGAATTCTACAAAAGAAAACTAAACAAAAATTCATCCAAAATTTTAAAGACAAAAAAAAAAAATCAGGAGTAAAACAATAAAATAAAATTAAAGTAAAGTAAACAGCAGAAATAAAAAGGCTAAAAAAAATTAAAACCAATAAAAAAAAACAATGGAGCTTTTTAGATATTTTGCTTTTTATATTTTAA